TTTGGGGGGGGCCCCCCCCCCCCCCCCCCAGCCTCCCTCCATGGGGCCAGGTTGATGCTGACCCAAGCACCCTTCCACCATGCAGCTGGATCAGGGCCGGGCTGCTCCTCTGCTCCCCTCTGCACAGCCAGATGGGGCCCTGCCAGATTTGAGCTACAGAGGGATTGAGCACGGCCCACCTGGCCCACTGCCCAAAAAGGTTGTGCACCACTGCCTTAAGCAGTGTGCACTCGAGCACATCCAGCTTTGAGGTATAAATGCATGAATGTGACTAATACATACATTCAAAAACCATTAGTTAAGGTCCAAAAGATCAGGAGAATTATCTGTCTTAGAAAATTCCTGTCTTAGAAATGCTGTTCAATTCATCCATGCACTTATCAGGAACTTTTTCATATGTTCCAAAAGTTACACAAACAAAGTAACCCTACCAGACCCCTTATATCTTAACTTTGGGACCTTCATGAATGAAATATTATCTCTGGAAGATTTCTACACCAACATCACATTTCTGGATGCCACAGTCCACATCTGGGATGGCATCCTACAAACCACTGTATACAGAAAACCAATGAATTCTCCTATGTTCATAAGACTGACAGCTACCCCAGACACACTAAGAAAGCTATAATCTGTAGTCAGGTCCTCAGATACGACATCTGCTCAGAAGAACATAAGAATTGCAATTTACTGGGTCAGATCATAGGTCTGTCCTGCTAGCATCCTTTATCACACAGTGGCAGAGAGTGGATGCTGAAAGGGAGAGTGAACTGGGTATGACCATGGTTTTTTCCTCTGTTCCTTTCACTTGCAGCCTCCAGCATTTTAAGGTCCAGGAACTTCTGATTCAGAGATTATATCCCTAACTCCTGCGCTCAATAGCCACGGATGCCTGTTTCCTCCAAGAATTTGTTCAGCCCCTTTTTTGAATCTAGCTAAAGCAGGGTTGGGCAAAATGGCTGATCCAGCTGGCAGCCAGACTCCATTTCCCACAGCCCCTGCCCTCATGGCTTGTACTGGTCTCCATGGAGACCCAAACCGCACCTGCATGGGAAAGCTCAGGCTGGAGTTGCTATGGAAACCTGCCTGAGCCACGCCAGCGGTGTGCTTGGCAGAGCAATGCAGGGGGCTGCTCTGGAGCTGCTGGGAACGTGTGATGGGGGCAGCTTGCTTTGGAGCCAGGGCAGAGCCGTGATTGTGTAGGCTACAGTTCACGATTCTGCCCTGGCTCTGGAGCAATCTGCTCCCATCCCAAGTTCCCAGCAGCTCCGGAA